TGCACATGCATCTGGGGCGTTTTACAAACCACCGGGGCCAAGACCAAACCTCTGTGGGCTCTGTGGATCCGGCTCCCTCTGCACGGAGCTTAGGCATGGTGGAGGTGGAGGAGGGCCCTACATATACTTCTTGAGTTATTCACAACATTGATGGTGGGCTTAAAAATAACAAAAAGTGTAGTCTTCAAAAGGTCATGGAAAGTATGTATTATAAAAAACTATGTGTGGATTTGGAATTTTTTTCTACCAAAAAGAACTCGTACTTTAATTCCGTTTTATCATGAAGTTTTTGAAGTGCCATGAACGTGTGTGTTTGTATGTCTTTTGGGTATTAGTAGAGAATCCTCATCAGTGTACCGTGGTGATTTTCAGAAGAGGTTCACTTCCCTGGTAAGCCACTTCTCTGTCGGTCTCTGGCACTCAGGGCTCCCAGAGCTGCACTAGTTTTCTAGCCTGAGCGTACCCGAACCTGAGTAATGCCCTCCGGGTTGTAGGAAAAGAGAAAACTCTGTCCTTGCTCTGTCCCACCCCAACACCAATCCTGTTTTGTATCTGTACAATTTTTCTCTTCCCCTCGCTCCCAAATATCCTCTTGAAAGTTTCAAAGTTAAAGGTTTAGGGGCCAGGAGATGGTATGGTGGTTAAGGCACTGGATTCCCACGTGACCAAACACAGTTTGAGTCCTGGACCCGGTATCTTGAAAATCACACTGGGCATGTGTGTGTGTATGCCCAAAATCCTGAGAGGAGAATGGAGGAGAGGGGCCTGCGCTGTGACATCCCTCATGGGGGGATTAGTCATTTTACCTCTCTCTCTAGCAAGTGCACGCACCCTATGGCAAAAACCTCTTTTTTTTTTTTTTAAAAAAAAAAAGGCTTTATGCTTTGGAAGATTAGCACTTTCTAACTGGAATTTAATATCTATGGCTTATTCTTCAGTGCTGAACTTGACAGAGGAAGCATTTCCCGGTAAATCAATTAAACCCGTTTTGTATCTTGCGACAACTAATGAAGTGGCAAGGAGAGACTTCTGCTCTCACTGATCCTCCGACTGCTTTTGATGAAAAGAAACTGGTAAACCACTTGGTCTAGAAGTCTTCATTTCTGCGATCCCATGGTGTCCGGAGATCATTTCAATGGATATATTATTTATACAGGGAAACTAAACCTAAATCTCAAACCACCATTTGTGAAGCCCACGAGCTCCTGGGCTGTCATTTTGGTTGCACACGCAGAGCTCCGTTTCTGGTGGCGTTCCGAGAGCAGCGAGTTCACTCTGAGCGCAGCGACTGTGCGTCTGGTGGGGGTTCATCTTAAAGGCTCTTCTCGCCATGCACGTCTCTTCATACCGTCACGATTGTCAGAGCTCTTGGCCTCTGCAAGGCCTCCCCCGACTCGGGTGGCCGTGTCGTACTCGTCAGAAGCCATGCCCACGTCCGATCACGCCCCGCACCGCTCTGGTGGCGTCAGTGCCGTCCCTTGCCCGCACGTATGAGTCAGTGTGTATTTCACAATCTGAAATACGAGCGGACTAACCACCATGGAAGGACTTGTCCTTATTTTGGTTTCTGTCCTGCCCCAATTTTAAGTTTTTGAATTGAAATCTAGCATTTTACTCCTACTTTTAACTCTCTGCCTTTTAATTTGGGCTGCCAAATACGGCAACGTTAGTCAGGTGGCCAAGAGACGCTTTCTGACCTCAGTGTGGTTTAGTGGAATTACGTTAAAGAGGGCGAGAGCGGCCGGATTTGCTGACTCGGGATAGCACGAGCCCTTGAGATTTCCCACAGATGGTGTTTGCAGTCTGACATGCAGCGAGCCAAATCTTTGAGCCGACCGTCTTCCCTGGACTCACATTTGAGCGACCCTGAAATCGGAAGCCGGATCGATCGCTGCGGGTTACCCTTGGGACACTTGGTGCCTGAGGGGCACCGGCCTGCGTGTTTATACTGCATCATTCACGAGTCCAGAAAGCACGTGCTCCTGAGCCGACGGTGGTCAGGGAGGTGTTGACCAAGATCGGGTTCTTTCCATTTGAAAACACCATGGCTTTGACTTAACAAATAACATTGTGGGGTGCAAGGGGAGGGAATATTTGACAGATGGGAAAAGGAAAGGTTCTCTGTTTTTTTTTTTTTTTTTTTAGTATTTGACAGATGGGAAAGGAAAGGTTCCCTGTTTTTTTGTTTTTAATATATAGTATACATCATGGTGGGGACTTTATATAAAATGTAAAATAGATAAAAACAAAAGAAAAAATAAGGAAAAAATAAAAGATAGAAGGCCCGTATACCATTCGCTTGATCTTGAGTTCCGTAGCGATGTCATTCAACTGAAGCGCCCGCTAGTTCACTGCTGTTAGTCTTCTGTTGTCCCGGCCCTCGCCTTCAGCTTAACGATTGGGCTGCCAGGAGAGTCACAACACATTTTCACATAGAAAAACATAGAAAAAAATACATTCTGTCTTTTTCTACAGCCCAATTTTTGTTTGGTTTAAAAAAAATTAGTGGGATGATGTTTAAGGCGCTGGACTCCCACATGACGAGCCATGGTTCAAGTCCCAAACCTGGCGGCTTGCTTTCTCACTTTCTCACACGTCTCTTTTCTTTTTGTCTCTCTCTGATGAGCACATGTGCCCTGGAGCAAATATTTAATAATAATAAATAAAACTAAATATTTTTTAAAAGAGATTTTTGCTATGGGGCTCATGTGCTCATGGGAGAGACAGAAAGTGAGAAATTACCCCACCTCACCCCCCAGGGAGGTGCCATGCCACGATCCTTTCTCCTCCATTCTCTTGGAATTTTGGGCATGCATGCACACATGCCCGGTGTACATTTTAAGCCACCCAGACCAGGACTTGAACTGTGGTTGACTATGTAGGTGTCCAGTGACGTAACCATTATGCCATTTGTTGGTCCCTAAATAAGTCTTGGAAAATATAGAAATGAGAAATTTAGTTTCCTGTTCAGTTTTTCTAAAGTATTTAATTGACAAATAAAGATGGAATATATTAAAAGTGTACAACGTGAAAAAATAAAACTGTTGTTCGAAAAGTAACCCATGGCACTGGTAAGGCTGAAGCAACAGCAGGAGCCCAGGTCGTGTGGGGAGCATTGCGGGCCCTTAGTTAGGGACCTACTAACCCAAGTACTGTAATATGGGTGGTGGACATTATTTAGCACAAGCCTTTTGAAGAGCGTAGTTTTGTTTGCGTTTGTATCCAGGCTAAGGCCTCATTATTAATGTGTTTTTATAGCATAGCCCTAATGTCAAAGGAGATGCATTTGTTCTAATGTAATGTTGATGGATCTGGGTGAGAGAATCGTGTGTTGGAAAGTTGACCAGACCGCAGCTCATTGACATGCAGTCAGAGAGCCTTTGGCCTACAGTGTAGGGTGGGTAATCTTATTAGAAAACCCTTCAAAATCAATAATAATAATAAAAAAAACCCTTAAAAGTGTGGTAGCATCAAGTTCATTCTTTAAAAAAGAAATCTATTTTCAATTGCATTACTCTATTTAAATGGACCGCAATGGTTTTCATTTTTTAAAAAATACTTTTATCGTATGTCTATATTCACAGCTGTCAAAAATATGTGTGATCCTTTGTCTTACAAACCCATCCATCTCCTCGGCCATCTCAGAGTCTAATCCTTGAGGCAGCCATTTTGCTGAAGCGTGGCGAAAGAAGAGACCTGTCAGTCCAGGCCGGTTCTTGCTGAAAAATGATCACTTCTTTACCCAGTGTGAACTTGACTTCCAAATTTTTGAATGGTGTAAAATTAAGGTCAGAGTGTCAAATGCAAAACCTAAATCTTGCAGGCAGAACCCTCATTAGCATGCACTCATCAATCTTTCGCATGTGGGAGCTGGGAGACCCGTCCTCCCGGCTGATACTGGACTGGAAGTCAATGCAGGGCTGCACACCGGCCCGGTGAAGGGCTGCCGATCCTCGCCGTGCCCACGCCTCACAAACAGGTAGTGAGAAGTGCAGGGGCTGTGTTCTGTCATTGGCCTTGTCCTGTTGGCTGTTGGGTGTTGCTTGGCAAGAGGGTGGCGATGTCTTGTCTCCCAGCTAGGGAGGTTTTAACGGCACCGCAGAGTACTAAGCTTGCACTGCAGTTCCTGCCCGTCCTCCACGGGACCCACGGTAATAAAGCGGTCGTGCGTCCTGTACGAAAATCCACCCAAATGTCCGCGATTCTCATGAACCTGATAACAGCTTGCGTGCTTTGATAATCAGAATGAAAGAAGACTCCTTGACTATTGAAAGCTTCTCTCCTTATTCACCATGTAGTATGGGGCCAGGTAGTGGCACTGAAGTGATGCCTCTGGGACTAGTGGAAAAAGTCCCAGGTTCATGCCCAGAACCTCCTGGAGCACCCAGGTGTGTGTGTGCGTGAGTGTGTGCCTGTGGCCCCGGCTGCTAGATGGCGAGTGGATTGCAGCGTGAAGACCTTGTGGAGACCTCCGTCCCTCTCTTTCTCTCTTTCTCTCATGGAAGAAATACGTCAACTTTTAAAAATGTAGTAAATGGGGTGACCTCAAATATTGTTCTTTAGGGTTGACAGTATGTTTCCATGCCTAACCACTTCTCTGGAAAGATAGAGGAGCTCTTTTATATAATTTCGTAGCTTCTAAACTATACGCTGGCTTGTGTTTATGCACTGCAGAGTTTACGAGAAGAAAGCGAGCCTAACAGTAGGGCTGATTTCACTAATTAAAGTCATGCCCAAGTGGGTTAACATGATATAGACATTTGGTTTTAATAGAGCTGCAGAAGGGTACCGAGTCCTGAAATGTCCTGTTTGGAAAGCTTTGCTCTATAAAACGCACCTCTACCACGGCCGATGGCCCTCAGTTAGGATGATGTACCTGCCGATTGGTGTGGGGGCAGACACAGCTCTCTCGTGTCCAAGCAGTAGTATTTGTAACGTATTAGGATGCTTCTCTCTGGGCCTGGCATTTCTGAGTACCTGTCTTCTCGGTCCTGTTTCAGGTGTGACTCGTGACAGTCCAGCGAAAGCTGGTGATTTATGACTGTCGAGGACGTCCGCGGGCATGATTAAGGGCGCCAAGATTTACTTCCTTCCTTCTCCAGCGGGTTACCTGCGGGGAGTGAGTCATCCCATAATTTATAACGCTGCGGACCCTTTGTCAGGAGACCGGGAAGAGAAAACTCAGAAAACGCCACCTGGGAGATCATGACATCTGGCACTCTGGACATACTTCTGAGGAGCAAGCAGGAGTCTGCAGAATTTTCCTGGTTTCTTTTATTCAAGGAAATGTTCATTAAAAAGGTTAGTATGGCAATCCTGGTAACCAAATATCGGGACTCTGTTACATGTTAGTCATCTTTTCTCCCATGCTTTGTTTCCGGACATTTTTAAGGTTGTTGGGACCAGAGAAACTTTGTATGGGCTAATTATAGAACTCTCTTTCTTTCTCCAAGGCCAAAGAATACTCAAGTCTTAGGTGTGTAATGCCAAGCTCGTACCTTTTTTTGGTAGTGTGTGGGGATGCAAGTAGCGCTTACCTAGAATTACTGGCCTCTGTTTCTTAGAATCGTCAAGTTGATTTATGTATTTTATTCCAGTTTTGAGGTGACGAAATGGGGAATGAGGTGGACAAAGAGTTTTTGGGGTGTGTGTGTGCACGTGTGCGCACATGTGTGTATTTAAGGGAAAAGGATACATTTAACTTACCCTGGACAGGATCTTATCCATAGACTTTGACGTTGCAAGCACATACAGGCTAGTGGAGCAGTGCACTTGATAAAATGCAGATAGTTCGTTTTATCACCAGCGAATCTAGACAAGGGCTTCTGAGCTTTGTATATTTTTATGCTTTGAGGAAACGGCCGGGTACAGTCGGCAGAAACAAACCACCCTAAATGTGTGTCGTGTTGGCATGACTTGTGGCTTGGAGGTGGCAGGGCATCATCCAGCGTGACGGGGTCTCTGACTTGTGGCTGTTGGTAACGCTAGGTTCAGGCAGTTGGGTAGCACACGTGGGCTTCACGTTCAAAGCCTTCATTTCACTTTCCACTTTTGAATGTCTTTGCAGTGGACAGTCGTTGCCTCACACCCGAGATCGTTTAGATGAAATGGGAACAGTTCCCAGTGCTTGCTTTGTTCCCATCTGCTCTCGGTGGCTAAAACGTTCCCATCAATTTGTAACTGGTACCCTTTTGAACTGACCCTCGGGTTCATGATATGTAAATATTGAGGGCCTTGAGATTTTCTGGTATGCGCTCAGTCCAGGAAGCACAGAATCTCTAGGTAGCCAAATGCAGGTGGACAAGTGGGAGGCTTGTGAGCTTCAGGCGCTCACTGGGCCCCATAATTCATGGGGGCCCGGCCAGAACACCATGTCTGGATTTTGTGCAGGGAGAACGTCTCACTGGCAAAGGAATCCTCACGTTTAGATCCTCCAGGAGTTTTGTTTTGTTTTGTTTTTAAGAGAGGTTTTGCTCTAGGGCATGTGCACTCACCAGAGAGACAGAAACAGACAGAAAGCAAGACATTACCCCACCCTGGGGGCATGGCCACACCACAATCCCTTCTCTCCTCCTTCCGGGATTTTGAGGCATGCACGCACATGCACCTGGCGTGCGTTTTAAGCCATCAGGTCCGGGATTTGAACCACGGCTGACTACGTGGGAGTCCCCCATGTAAGCGTTACTCCATCTGCTTGTCTGTCCTCCAGTTTTACAGCCAGGTCTCACTGCTGAGCTGGTGTTACTCTGGCCTTGCAAGACGTTTTCCAGGGCAAGCAGCATGCGAGCCTCTCTCATCCCCTTTGAGATAAAGAACTCCAGCAGGCCTTTTTCACCTGGGAGAAACGACAGAGCAGGGGCAGGGGCAGAGTCCCCAGGTTCAAGTCTGTGTGTGTCACTTCCTAGCAATGCCACAGACTGTAGGCAAATTAGTTAACCTCTCCCAGCCTCAGATTCCTCAGCTGTCAAATGGGGACAGTACCTTTCTTTTCTTTTCCGTTCTTTTAAAACAATTAAAAGAGAGCTATCCAGTTGTGATTAGCACTTCAAGAAAGATTTCTTAGAAGTTGTCCACTGACTAGCTTGCAGGTACCCTGTGTCTACAGAGACTAACCCACAAGGCTGCTAATGTTACAGCTTAAGACAATCTGGTTGGAGGTCCTCTCTCCCAGGGGTACTCAGTGAAGTGAAAGTATTTGGGAGAAAGAAGACTAGAGCACTGGTATGGCAGAATGGTTTAACAAGTTGAATTTGCCAATTTCCCCCCCTATTTATTTTATTATATTTGATACTATTTTTAAAGCTTGCTATAGGGCACATATGCTAACCAGAGAGAGACAGAGAAGAGGGAAGGAGGGCAAGAGGAAAAGTGAGAAAGCAAGTCACCCAGTCTGGGACTTGAACTGGAGTCTGCCATGTGGGAGTCCAGCACCCCAACCACCACGCCACCTGCTGGCCCTTTGACACTGGATATAAAGTCTTTTTTCCCCTTTTATATAATGTGTGTATTAGAAACGAGCGTCTCAGAACTTGCTTCATTACGTTGTGGCGCACTGTTGCTGGCCCTCGTTTCTACAGTCACCGTGCTGCAGTCTTAGCTGCCCGTCCACCCCACAGGGTTTATTATTGCTCTTGAGCTGATGGAATTGCTGTCCCGCTGTGGGTACTTTTTTCATGAAGAAGTATGGGCACCGGAAGATGGAACTTACCCGTCTGTCTGCTGAAGCATTTGTACGTGTGTTACCTGAGAGCTTAGACGCACCGCTGAGAGACAGGATGTAAAATGCAGAGGAAAGTGAAAAACTGAAAATAAAATAACATGATGGAAATGACAGGAGCCTCTTTGCAAAGCATACGTAAACTATTCTTCAAAGCAGGCTTAATAGCCGGTAGCAAAACCATCACTCTCGTCTGTAAGAGACCGAGCCCGGTCCACAAAGTTGGAACCGACGTGCCAGTCTGGACATTTTCCAGGGAAGTCAAGCAGAACAGGCCTCCAGATCTGAACTTCAGGGACAATCCATTTTCCAAACTTCCTACATTGATCGTGAGCTGTCCGTGTTTGATGGGTAGATCCTGAAACATTAACTGATTAAATTCTCCAGAGTGACATGGCATCATAGTGCCCTCCACTCTTCTGAGCATCTAAATTTGTGCATTGACACTCGGGACATTTGCTAAATGAGGTGTGGAGAGAGAAGAGGGGAGCATTTTGGCATTAGCTTGTCTTTCCTAAGGAGAGTCAGCAGAAAGACATTGAATTCAATTGAAATTTTATTTATGGATTGCCTGCATGTTAGACTGCACCTAATAAACTATGCAGTGCCTTAAAAACACCCCCTCTGCCTCACTCACCTTTTCTAGTCTTCACGGATGCAGGCATGCTCTGTGCCCGCACAGAAGGAATGCTCTGTGCCCGCACAGAGGGACGAGTTCAGGTCTCTGTCACACTGCTGTGCTCCCTGCTAGCTGCTCTGTGGTTTGCACTCGTGGGCATTTACATCTTTCAAATCCATCTTTGATGAGAGAAGTGATTTCTCCCCATGTCAGATTTTTTTTTTTTTTTTTTTTTACATCCTCTGGGTGTGAGTTTAAGCCGCCAGGTTTGGGACTTGACCCGCGATCGACTACATGGGAGTCCAGCCACATAGCCATTACGCTAACTGCTGGTCCCCATATCAGCTGTTCTGATGTGTGTTTGTTTGTGTAGTGACCCCTGCTTCCAGGCACGAGTGCTTCCTCCCAGCCTTTTCAGTCATGCTAAGAGTGGGGTCTGCTCTTCCTGGAACTGTGTTCCTGCATACCTGCAGGTTACTACCTGGTGAGGATTTGGGTGGTGGACTAGAGAGGTCAACAACGGAAGGCCAGGCCCAGAGAGGTGAAGAAATTGCCCGAGGTCATGCTGTCAGCAAATGCCAGGAGAGCCCCCCATCGGCGTGGCTTCAGTCTCCTCTCCAGGGCACGCTGAGAGGTGTGCGGCGGAGTCCGGGGCTGTTCCTGGTCCATGGAGCCAATGACGGGGAACTGAAAGGAGTTTCAGGAGAGAAACGAGAATCAGGCTTTGGGACAGGGTTTGTTTGAGGTTACAGTCAAGGGGTGCCCTTTGAATATCGTTCCCCGACATAAGAGAAAACGAAGAACAACTGTTACTTGATTTTGCAGAACTGCTCACCCTTTGCTGAAACCATGTAACCACGAATTTTAGCCATCTTCAGGTAACTCAGCATACTGGAGTGTGGGCAATTTCTGGTTTTACCTTCGTGCCTGCTTTGCTTTGTGCTACCTTTTGTTTTGCTAAAAATGAGCTAAAAGAGAAAGCAAGGGAGACACTTTCCAGATATGGTAACTCTGGAAATCTCAAGTGAAACCTCTGGCTCTCATCCCAGGATGAAGTCCTGACGTGGGACATTAGTTGGGTTTCTGGTGGCATGTCCACTGAGTACATGACACGCTGCCACGAGTCCGTTCTTCAAAGCAGGCTTAATAGCCGGTAGCAAAACCATCACTCTCGTCTGTAAGAGACCGAGCCCGGTCCACAAAGTTGGAACCGACGTGCCAGTCTGGACATTTTCCAGGGAAGTCAAGCAGAACAGGCCTCCAGATCTGAACTTCAGGGACAATCCATTTTCCAAACTTCCTACATTGATCGTGAGCTGTCCGTGTTTGATGGGTAGATCCTGAAACATTAACTGATTAAATTCTCCAGAGTGACATGGCATCATAGTGCCCTCCACTCTTCTGAGCATCTAAATTTGTGCATTGACACTCGGGACATTTGCTAAATGAGGTGTGGAGAGAGAAGAGGGGAGCATTTTGGCATTAGCTTGTCTTTCCTAAGGAGAGTCAGCAGAAAGACATTGAATTCAATTGAAATTTTATTTATGGATTGCCTGCATGTTAGACTGCACCTAATAAACTATGCAGTGCCTTAAAAACACCCCCTCTGCCTCACTCACCTTTTCTAGTCTTCACGGATGGAGGA